ATAGACTTCTCAGATATTTAATAGTTATAAAATTGATTAATAAAATTTAAAATATTGATTAATGAAATTATAAAATTGATTAATCACATGATTATATTTTTATACTTCTTTAATCTAAAAAAAATTTGAAAAATAAACAAAATTTATTATTATAATATTTTATTATTCACCATATTGATGAACACTAAAATACGATATAAGAATACCCATTTAGTATGAAAATTAGTATTGTTCATAAATTATAAGTAACCTTGCACATAAAATAAACCTCTTGCATTTTAGGAAGAAAAAATAACACTTATTTTTTATGCTTTAGTCATGAGTATGCACGAAGTATTTTTTTTAATCTCAAATCTTTAGTTTTATTTTAAAGATTTAATTACAACTTTGGTCTTTCTATTTTATATATTTTTTTTATTTTGATCTCTCTATTTTAAAATTTGAATTTTTTTTAAATTATTAAGTATATTTACAAAAGATAAAAATAAAGCTCAAGTGAGCAAAGATAAAAATGCGGAAAATAAATGTTCAAGTGAGCAAAAGACAAATAGCATGAGATATAAATGGTAAAAAAAATGATACATAAAAGTAAAGACACAATAAAGGCATAAAGTAAAATTAATTGTTAGTGAATTAGAAGTTAGAGGTAAAGTATAACAAAAAGTTAGTTGAATGATCATCTTGAAACTTGCTTTTGAAAACTCATTAGAAGATTGATAAAATCAAAGTCTCTCAATAATAAGTTTCATTTATTTTTTGTCAAGTATATCATTCATTTCAGGTTCTCAAAGCCAACACATAAGACCAATGATAATTGAAGATCAAACTTAGACCAAAGTTGATGAAGGCTTGTTAGAGAATTGGTAAGACCAAAGCCTCATAACAACAAGCTTCAAAGGTTTTGAACTAAAATCCAATAATCCATTATACTTGGGCTTTCAAATATAATATTTGGGCCACGAATGATTATTTTTCGAATCGGAACAAATTTAGTGTTATGTTAAGCAATCGTAAGTTGACTTATGTAGAAGTCACACTTATTTTGAGGTCGGTCAATAGCAATCTATGTACCATACATGTTAGAGAAATGATAGATAGATCATTCTTCAAAAAATATGTAGCACAAGTAAAAACAAGAAAGGGATAAAATGAAGAGGGAGGGAAATGATAGTGTAATCATTATCTCAGATGAAATTAGAATTTCAAATATCATCAACATCATTCATCCATTTTGGTAGATTTGGTTTTTCAACCTATCAACACCCAAGATCCAATGAGATTGAGAAACTTGTCCCAAAGTAATACTCAAGTATCCAAATCAGAACCAAGTCATTATTCAAACGATAAAAATAATATATATATATATATATATATATATATATATATATATATATATATATATATATATATATATATATATATATATATATATATATATATATATATATATATATATATATATATATATATATATATATATATATATATATATATATATATATATATATATATATATATATATATATATATATATATATATATATATATATATATGATTTTAAAAATGGTTATTTAATTGAATTTTAATGATGAAATACACAATGGTATTCAAACATCTAAGTAAAAATTCAAGAAAATTATCAAAAAGTCAAATAAAGGTCAACAAGTTTTGATAAAAAATTTCAAAATTATTAAAAGTCAGAAACTATTTTTAAAATATAAAGAAATAAGCAAAATAAACCAAAATTTATTAAAAAAAAAATAGTAAAACAAAAAATAAAAATAAAATCAGGTCAACAATATTTGTCGAGGTCATTGGATCCTTCCATAATTTTTTTCTTCAGAATTTTAAAATCAAAAAAGTATTTTTAAATCAATTAAAACCAAGAAAATAACACAAAAGTTATTTAAAATACCAAAACTCATTCAAAAATTATAGAAAAAAATATCATTTAATCATAAATAAGATAAAATATTTTTGTGAATTTTTTCATATTTTTTAGATAAAATTTGAATGAGTTATGATTTTTTAAATATGAAAATAATTAAAATAAAAAATAGAAAAAAGAAAATAAATAGAGAAACCTCTGGTGCGTTGGATCTGAGTTGACTATGCAAAGAATCACATCAAGTGGTCCAGAGCACGCGTGTACCATGAAATTTAGTGAAATAAAAATATTGAGTTCATTTTGAATCAGTCAATCAGAACATTTCAAGTGTCGCGCTTTGATAGGTACACGAGGAAAAATAATTTTAAAAAATACAGAGCCGTTGTGAACTTCCTTTGGTCATCTCTTCCGATGATCTTCCCCAGAGAAAACCAAAAATGATTTCCAATATTCACGAAACCGGTATCATTTGAAGCGTCTCACTGAGAAGAACTCAGACATGACATCGTTAAATATTTATATAAACTGTGTATTGTTTAATTTGTAAAAGAAACATAAAATAGCGAACACAAATGTCGGAGATTACATGATCAATTCTTAATGAAAATGAAAATTAGAAGTATGAGATTCAGAGAAATGAGGAGAGTATATTGACAACTTATTTGAAGCAAAATGAATGAGTAATCTACCTGAACGAAGTCTGAGAATTTTGCTCTGAAATTTGACTTGGCTAGCACGATTTAGAGTACCTCAAGACTTGGTTCTTCTTATGTTAGCTTCAGTAGAGTTCAGTGATGAAGAATCTGTCTAGAATTTAAGAGTTGAAAGTGAAGGAAATGAGAAATCGAAAACTCAGAAAAGAGAGAGATGAAAGGAGTTTGGCAGAGCTTCCTTGGCTATCAAAGCTTGACAAAATTATGTAGAGAAGGTATCTATTTATAGGAAAAGTGAATGGTGATGAGGCTTGAGAGAAATGTTGATTGATTCGTGCAAAGTAAGCTGGTTGTGATCATGCCAAATGTGTGACTTGAAATGCATCAAAGCGACCTCACACCAAGTGCAATTCTCATCAAAATGCACTGGACAATTAGTTAAACAAGTTTAACAACTAAACTTTGAGTAATTCGACTTGTAATCCAAGTTTACTCATAGTAAAAATTCTGACTCGAAGTAAAAAATAGATTTCATGGAGCCAACTTCAACAATGCATAACTCACTACCAGGGACTTTTATGATGCAATCTTAGATTTTTTATAAAGCTGAATGATCAAGCTTGACAATGTGCTTTGAAAGTTTTCATTTGGATGCTTGAGCAGAAAGTTATATCCATTTGAAATCATGAAAAACACATGAATTTTTTGTACTTGAAAAAAATTCTAAGTGTTGAGCTTCAAAATGACCTATAATGTCTTACAAACTTACAAGCCTTTTCAGTCAAAATTTGATCTTGATCCTTGAAGATAAAATGAAGTAGAGTCTTTAAATTAAATTGTAGAATTGAGATCATTCAAAAATCATAAAAATTAAAAGAGTTATGATCTTTAGAAGATGATGAATAAATTTGGGGAAATTCACAAATGACCTATAATCTTTTCAATTCTTAAACAAACTTCTAAGCATTTTCAAACCTAGCACCTTGAAATAAAGTTGTAGTAGACATCCCAAAAATTATTGTAGAAAAAGAATGAGCTCAAGGAGATAAAAGATGACTAAGTTATGATCATTTGAAGTCACACAAGAGAATTTGATAGCCTTTTCAAAGGACTTGTAATCTTTCCCAATCATTAGTGATTTTCCATTCAAAATTAGCCTTAAACCCTTGATGATAAATTGTTAAGGACTCTTTAAAGAGAATCATGGCATTGGAATCAATCAAAAATCTCAAAAAAAGAGCAAGATATGGTCCTTGGAAGTCAGCAACCCTAGCTTAGAGGGTGTCAAAATGACTTGGAACCCCTTTCAACTTTTGGTGATTTTTTTTGCACAATTGGATCTAGTCATGTGAAGAGAAGTTGTTATAGATGATGATAAGAACCCATAGAAAAAAGAACCAACTCAAAATATTGAAAATTGAGAGAATTATATACTTGTGATTACTGAATCAAACACTTGCTCAATTAAGTCAAACTTATTAAATCAACCTTGAATCTTTTGAATTTTCTTTACAAAATAGAGCATGATGAATCACAATAGACCTCTTTACAAAACATATTTTGTCATAACTCATAAATAATTCATAATTATTTTCATAACACGTAATTTTTCTGTAAAGTGACTCTACTATCACTTTTTCTAAATAATTGGAATTGTTTTCTGTTAAGATATTGTGCCGAATCAAGAATATCAATCTATAGGCGTGCCTAATTATCCACCATTGTCATTTTCAATCAATTATATCATGTCATTCTTGCAATAATTCATTATAGAATAATTACTATCATAGACAACCAAAATAGCATAATTGATAATTCTACATAATTTCGTAATATGAATTGATTCAATGAAGCTAAAATTCCATAACAGTTGTTTCATTCGTAAAATCACTATAAATTGTAAAAGTAACCTAAAATCATGAAACTATACAATAATAAAGTACTTTAAATTAGCTTTCAAATGCAATTGGTTTTGTACAAATAGGAGTTTCCTATCCCAAGTTAGGTAATTTCCAAACCAGCTACATAATGTTGATTTTTTCAGGAAAAAAAAAAAAGCTATAGTTCAATTATGTGTGTAAAACTATAATTCAATCATGTGTGTAAAATACAGAAACACAAACACTTATTTTTCCCAAATTATTCACATGCAATCTATCCCAACTCACATCAATCTTACAAACATATTCTAAACAAAGATTGAAATCTATAATAAAAAATATTGAAAAATAAGTTTAGGTGGTTTAGACATTTTTTATTATAGGAAACACCATTTCATTAAGAGAAAAATCAAGACATTACAAACATCAAGAGACTTATGGCACGTGACAAACCCCATAGACTGATCACAAGCTAAAAGAACACAATCAAACCAGAAACAACAACATATCATCAATCCATCAACTCTCTTAAGAACACCGACAATATAGAAATGAGACTATAGTCTTTTTCTAAATCTAATTAAGGATGATTTCTTTGATTTGTGTCTACGCATATCGACTTCTTTGTTCTCAAGATTGTCCACTTTTATGGAATGCTCAAAACTTTGTTGATGACTAGAGATAATGTTGCTCCAAAACACAAAAATCCTTTGAGGCTTTTTATCAAATACCATGAGTGCAGTCTTAAATCCCAAATGACAAAAAGCATAAAATAGACAACACAAAAACATAAATGGATAGATCTGAAAGAGGGACAAATTACAACCCGTAGTAAATCCACGGTGGCTTTGGAGGTGCGTGAATCGTATCCAACAGAGTATATACAGAGGAGAGAGGCGGCTTTGAGATGCTAAGACCAACCTTGATGATATTTCCATCTCCTAGTAGTGGTGGTGGCTCTAGCGGCGGTTGGTTCAACATAGAGGAGTTGGTTTGGTAGTGGTTTGCAGTGGAAAAGGGGGATATTCGATGAGGGAGCTAGTTCCGATGGAAGTATGACAGTGGGGTTGGATGAAAGAGGAATTACCCTTCATAGAGGGAGGGATGACCACCATAAGAGTGGTAGATGGGAGCCACCATGAAGGTGGAGGGCAGCCACCATCAAACCCTAAAGGTTTGGGGGGAGGTTTTCTAGAGAGATCATCTCTCTAGAAAGTTATATTCAGGTGGTTTAGACATATTAAGAGAATACTTGTGGATTCTATTGTAAAGAGAGTAGTAGATCAGATAGAAAATGATCAAACAACTAGAAATAGAAGAAAAAAAACCAGATAAGACTTGATCTTTGATAAAACATTATTAATTATTCATGTAGCCGATCTTATCTAGTGGGATAAGACTTGGCTTGTATACATTTTGAAAAGTTAGTGGAAGCCAAGCATTTCAACCCAATATAATATTAACTGTGCTTGCTAGCTAGTTAGTTCTGTAATATCTAATTTGTGAGCAAATCCAATCTTCACATTCACATATAACCATGTTTTCTTAGTTTTTTAGTGGGTATGAGTGAGCATTTACAACTCTATGCCTCACTTTTAAATAGATATGCATTATTCACTGCTTTATGCTCATGTCTCTTATCTACAAATCACACTATAAACAAACAACAGTCTCATGTAAATATTATTAGCAAACACAACTATATACCTCAAACACTACATTGTGAGGACTTCCTCTCATGAACACTTCCTCAAAGAGCAAGGAAAGAAAAAGAAAAGAACATAGTTCAGTTTAAACTTTAAAGTCACTGCTTAATGCAGTGCAAACTACCAGCATCATTTCAAGAGAGCATTCAAATTTTCAATAATACATATGCAGACTCCAATTGCAATCAACTTCAACAACTTAAATTTCAGTAACTTATTTTATCCAATAATCACAATTATAAACCAAACATAATCTTAAATTTCAGCAACAAAATTCAAAAACAAGAAAGTTACCTAAAGCTAAGAAGCCACGCTAAATCTTCCAATCCTGAAATGCTTCAAATCAACTTCATTAGTTTCCCCATCCACCACAAGTTCACTCAATATCTTACCAACAACCGGAGCCATCTTAAACCCATGACCCGAAAACCCAGCACCCAAAACCACATTCTTCCCAAACTCACCACCCAAGAAATCAATCACAAAATCTTCATCCGGTGTCATTGAATACATACAAGACTGTTTCATCACAGGCTCACTTGAATCAACCAACCCACAAAATCTCCCTTCAAGCCACTCTTTCATCTCATCCATCATCACACCAGCACAACCCCACGGTCTCTTATCCGGATCACATGGGTTACCACTATGAACCGCCACTTTAATCAAACCCGGATACTCCAAACTCGGAGTTCCATACAAACAAACCTTACCCTCGCTAGCAAACGTCGGAAAATCGCCGTCGATTGCGAATTTCCCTTCATACCCTTCCTTGATCCTCCAGTAACAAACAAGAGTTTCCAAAGGCTGAATCGGAAGTTGAACACCAGTAATCTTCTCAATTAATTTACTCGCCCATGCTCCCACTGTTACTACACATTTCTTCCCGCGAAAATTCTCGCCGTTCGCCGTAGTTAAAACGACAACCCCACCGTCGTTTTTTATATCCGTTACCTCTGTGTTATCCTTCAAAACAGCACCGTGGTTCCGCGCCAGTGTCTGAAACATCGTCACCGCTTTCGTGGCTCTTATCACCCCACCGTGCTCTGTCAAAAGACCGGCCCAGTCATCCGGGATATCGATCCTGCCGGCGAATTTCTCGGCGACTTGTTCGCGGCGGAGGAGTTGGTAGTCGACGTTGTTTTCTCGGCAGTTTTCAACTACGGAAACGAAAGTTGAATTGTTCGACGGAGCCATGTCAAAGTGACGAGCCTCGTAGTAGACTTTGAACCCTGCTTGAGCTTGAGCTTCTCGCCATAGATCGTACGATTTGATTACCAAACCGTAGTAATGTTTTTGGGGATAAGTGGCACGGATGGTGCGGGATTCGCCGTGGGAGGAGCCACGATGGTGGAGGAAATCGAACTGTTCTAGTAGAAGGGTTTTGCGGCCAGTTTTTGCGGCGTGGTAGGCGGTGGAACTTCCCATGACGCCAGCGCCGATGATGATGACGTCATATTCAGGATTAGAAGAATAGTCCATTTTTGAGATGAGGAGACTATGGAATCTTGATGAACGAGGTCGCTGTGAATGACTGCCATTTCTTTGGCTTAACGTGTTCGTTTTAGATTTTGGAATTATGTTGAAAAGTTAAATAGTGATGTTTAGATTTTGCGATGAGTTCAAAGAATGAAACATATAAATATGATTTAATGGGTTATATACCGTTTTAATCCTTATAAATATGAGTTTTGGCCTCTTCTAAAATTTAAAGAGAATAAAAGTCATTGCATATTTTTCTTTCTACAAACAAAAAATAAAAATAATAGTACTCCACTTTTCTCGGACACCTTACAAACAAGTTTGACAACACATAAATTCTATAAAAAAATTGGTTGATCATAATGTCTAGTTTCGTGCATTTCTCAACCCCGTATTTAGTTTGGTCTCAATTTTTAGAAAGTTCTCGATTCTTGGAAAGTGGATTTTGCATCTAAAAATTATCACAAATCCATCTAAATGCATGCTATGCATAATCTACATGGTACATCAGTGTCAAACAGCTTCAAGAAATTTTCATATGCAGTTTCCAAATTCTCTATTATATAACATGATATAAAAAAAATACATGTTCCAATCACAACCATTTTTAATTAGAAATTGTTTTTGTTTCTTCACTCATTCATTCTTCTTAAGTTTGGCGTTCATAATTGTATAAAAAAAATGTTAGACGACGACGCGTATCTAGAAGGAGTGAATAGAGATGTAAAAATAATTTTAGACACAAATTTAGAATTTAAATTGTTTTCAAAACTTTTTATTGCGGAAGCAAATAACTGGATAAATCGTCTAAAATACAATTTATTGAAAACTCGGATATATAAATTGTTAACGTTAAATCTATGAAAGAAAATTGAATAATCGATCAACGCAAACTCAATTCAACAATCCACTTATTTATTGTTTGAATACAATCACTTTACAATGTTATTTCCAAGGCTAAATAATCAAATAACTAACTTGATCGTTTTATCAAACACTTGACGTGCAAGTGAATTTTTATAATTTTTCCTTGAGTGAATTTTTATAATTTTTCCTTGAGTGGTGTTGATATACAAAACCACTTATAATCAAAAGTGATTATAAGCTATATCCACGCCTAATTTAAAAACAGATTTTGAGAGGAAAATTCTTACAATTCAATTACTAACACAATGCTATTTGTTAAAATGATTGATGAAATTGAAAGCAAGTAAAAGCGGAAAAGTAAAAACACACAAGAAATTTGTCTACACAGTTCCCCATTGTCGTCCTCGCCTAATTCCAATAGAATTAGGATAATTCTTATATGCAAAATTGTTTAATACAAAAGAAATAGATAGACCAACAATACAAAATTCTCCAATTTGGTGTTGATGCTCTTTCTTCCAACCTTTGATCTTAAGAAAGATCAAATCAACCGATAGATACAACATATTCGCCGCTTAAGCTACTTCCTTGCAAAGATTTCAAACACTCCAATGTTCCTTGCAAAGATTTCAAACACTCCAAGGGATTTTTCACTCGAGTAGATCTGATTGCACACTATCAACACAAGATCACTGATTCTATCATCCAATTCTTGCTACTTTCTTAAAAAGATTTCAAACACTCTAAGTTTCCTTGAAAATATTTCAAACACTCCAAGGGATTTTTCACATGGATGATTCCTTCTCGCACGATTTTGCACAAAAACCTCCAATTCAACAAATGATTTTGGAGGAGAAACCCGATGGTTTTCCTGGATGAAGACCTCTACAAATCTCAATCTAAACCAATTGGAAATCTACAATTCTTCGTCTAGATGGCACCCCGACGGAACATCATCACAATGTAATGTTGGTGTAAATGTATAGATTGGAAGATTGAAGATGAAGAAGAAATGTAGGTTAATTTTATGGTATCATCATGTTTGGAATGATGCATGAATGGGTATTTATAGATTGGAAAAATTTATGGCAAAAAGGACAAATTCAGAATAAAAGAAATGGAAAACTTGACCAAAATAGATTTTATGTGTCGACCTTAAATTCGTGTGTGTCGACACATACGTTATAAATAGAATGTATGTGTCGACCTGAAGGACTCTATGTATCGACATGAACAAGTCAGAAGCTACATGCTTTAAAACGTGAGTAAATGTGTCGACCTGAAATATGGATGGGTCGACACAAAAAACAAGAATTTCTTCAATTTCAGAAATCTTTCAGTATGTGTCGACCTGAAGGTTATATGTATCGACATGTGACTTACAGAAGCTTACAGGCTTAAATACTGAGTTACATGTGTTGATCTAAAAATCGAATGTGTCGACACATGCAATGTAAAAACATGCAGAAACTGTTTTTTAATGTGTTGGGTCAATTTCAAAGTAATTTTTGATGATTCCTAAGACCTATAATGCAGAGGAGAGCCACAAAAATAAAAATACCATCCATTTTACCGACGTACCATCTTTCCAAGTTTTGACATCATGCAAAACACCTTGTATTAAAGTTGTACTCACAAACTCCCCCTTTTTTATGATGGCAAAACTTTCGACGATGCATTTCTTGTAATTTTCAAAGGCTCCCCCTGTCTTTGTGCTTCCTATCTTCGTATCGGTTATGCTTCTCCCCCTTTGACAACATCGAAAAGAAGATAGCAAACGATTAGTGAAATTCTGGTACAGCAGACTCAGATGTCCTACAAGGATGTCGAGACATCTGATCTGACATAAACACACAGGCAAGATAAAACAATACTGAAAAGATAAAGAACACACCAGAATTATTTACCCAGTTCAGTGTACAACAACACCTACTTTGGGGGCTACCAAGCCAGGAATGAAGTCCATCATCAGTAGTATCAATTTGCAGACCCTACAACCAACACACCCATTGACGATCTACGCACTTAATCACTACCCAATGACCCTTCTACCTAGGTCCTCCATAGATATGGAATATCCTCATCCCATTTACAATCATCGCAATGATGTCTAGCAGTCAACACCTCAGTCACCGCATTAACAATCCTTCACCCAAATTCTGATCACACACATAGATAGTTTGGAAGACACACTTCCATGACAACTTAGCTAAGTCTCCAAGCCAAACTCCACTATTTGGTAGCTCTGATCCTAACTAAGAACACATCATGGAGTTGCTTCAAAGATTCCTCCAAGAATACACCTCTTACCTACAGGCTTTGAGATGAACTTGGTAACCTTCCCACAATCTGAGAGGTTTACCTTGACAAACCCTAGACTTCTACATCTTGAGCCGTATTTCATCTAGGTTGTAAACCATTTTATTTATAATCTGTTATCCAACTGGTTTTGGGCCTTCAATCACAGCAAGTCGGCTGTAAGAAACTGCAGAAACTTCTGCCTCAAGAAAGGTCTTCAATCTTTACTTTCCTAAATAATCTCCTTTATTTAGAAAGTCTTCATTCTCCTTGATTTCATATTATATTTTCTGGACCTTTAAATATGCGCCACATAGGATACATAATATTCTCCTGAATATTCTGCCAATGTTGAGAACAAACTGAATCTCATTAATCCAGCTCAGCGGGCGCGATGTCAAGACATCTTCTTTGACATGTTGTTCCAGTTGTTGAAAAAGTTTAACACAACATGTTCTGACATTGTAATAGGACTTCTTATTGTACATGTTATTCTTAGCAAGATTATACATCCTATTATACATTACATTATTGCTGTTATTATTTGTTTTACAAAAATTAAGCCAATCCTAAAACAAGAGAACTAACAATCTCCCCCTTTGGCAGATTTTGGCTAAAACAAATAATATAAAAAACAATTTGCAGCAATTCAGAAGCTGTTGCATACAACAATGGATCTTTAGTTGAAAATGATGTCTCAACATCTTGTTAGACATCTTCTTTGCAGCACTTTGAAGAACTCAATTGCATCAGCAACAACGAACATCAGTTTCATGATAAAAGGAAGGAAAGTCCTGAAGTTTGGTTGATGCACACGAGGAAGAAGATAGCAGAAGATAACTTGTACTCTCCCTCAATGCATGAACATATTCTAAATATAGAAGACCAATGATGGAATAAGAGAACACTCAATAACTCCTTAAGAGCAAATCAACCACTGCCCCTGATAACTCGGAACACATGTCACAATTGTGTTCACAACTCAGATCACAGGTCACAAACATATGTCACAGATAATAACCCACTTGACATCTTATTTTGACATCTGTGAACATTAATAATAACCACTTGTGGAATCAATAGCATCTGAGTTAATTCACCTTTCATTATCTCCCCATTTTAGCCTAAACTTGGCAAAGGAGAGCTTCACAATACCAGACCCAAGCACAGCTTATCCAAACCCGAATAAAAGCCATAAGAATTATGGACTCAAGGATCTCACGTGGTTACAGAGATACAGAAAACTCTTTATAAATAACTGGGATTTTCCCTTGGAAAGTAACGATCCTAGGTTGTAGCACCAATCTTGGTCAAAAGAAATGATATTTGAGGAGAAAACTTCAAGTATCAATGTGCACCGTCCATAATGGCTTTGAATGCTATAGCTACTTCCTGTACATACACATGCATAGTCAGACAAATTTTTCTCCCCTTATTTACAACCACGTGTTTGAACACATAGGCCACTCCACCCTATGTTGACCATGCAGGAACATGTCTTGTATAATGTCCTGACACTTAGTCAGACATTGTCTTCTTATTTCAGTGATCAATACATCTTCTCCCACCAATCAGGGATGGTTCACCCGATTATACACCTGTTTATACTGGATTCTAAGTGTTCTTCTTTCACTTAAACTTAGTGACATATACTAAGATATCAAAATATCACATTTGGGACACCTCTTCATAATATAGACCCTCTAGGATTCTTTTTGAAATCTATAGAGAAAAATAAATTCTCCCAGACTTCCCATTAAATTTCTAAGAGATATGTGAACTTTTGATCTTCACAAAGCTTCTTATAGTTAGAAACAACCATGTACTGTTAAGTT